TTGTTTTTTCTTTTTGTTTTTCTTTTTATTTTTATTTTTGCATGTTATCACTGTGCCCGTTTTTTGCTTTTATTCTTTGTTCCGCAAAGTGCGCTCTTTTAGTTTGTAGTGATGTGACAATATATGAGGAACACGTCTCTGCTTTGAATCAGGTCTTGTATGTTATCCATGTTCACAAGCTGCTATTTGATAAAAAGAAATGAACAAAGTTTGAAACAACAATTTTTCAGTGTGTGCACTGGGTGTTCCAAATGGGGTGGCCGATGACCTGATGGGGAAAACCTGACATCGTTTTGTGGTCTTCTTCCAGGGACTCTGTCCTCGCCTAATTGCTGTCGAGATCTTTGACAGCAAAGGGCAAGGTGGATCAAAGGTTCAGACAGGAGGTCGGGATGATGTCTGCTTGTGCAACATGGGTGACCACGTGCGGAGTTCGTCGGACCCGGAGATAGGAAACGGCCACAGAATGGGAAGTCGACTAAACGGTCCGCGGAGTCGATCTGTAAAACCACGAGGTAAGCCGGGGAGGGGTCGAGGGAGAGGTAGGGTGGGTGGCCGTGTGCTGGCAGTGGAGGATGATGGTTCTGTAGCAGCTTCAGGAGTGAGTCCACCTCTTCGGGGAGCTGGTGGGAAGAGGACAAAGGCTCTGATGGCAGAGCCAACTGTTCCCGAGGGAGGGGAGGAGGAGGAGGGGATTGAGAGGGTTTCAGGGAGAGGACGGGGAAGGAAGCCCAGCAGCGGTGCAAGAGGGCGAGGCAGGGGTTATGCTGGGCGGCCAGTGGTAGTGAACAAGGTTATTGGTAATAGGATTGCAGAGGCGGTAGATGAGAGAGTAGATGTAAGCCATCGTAGAGGGAGGAAAGGAAAGGAGATAGGTAGTGGCGTGGGCTACGTGCAAGGTGGATGGAGTGGAAGTGTGGAAGGCAATGATGAGAGAGAGGATGTATATGGCGAGGGTGAGGTTGGAATGGACATAGGGTTATCGTCGGAGGCTGGGGATGACGGAAAGTCTGACATATGGGAGGAAATTGCAGGTAGCATTAAAAGCAGGGAATTGAAAGGTCTTGGGGATGTGTTTGTGAGCGGAAAACGTAGGCGGGGCATTTGATGTCCATGAGCTGGCAGGTGGAGTAGGTCATGGGCAGGAGCTGATTAAGGGCAATTGAAGGACCGCTGGAGCCTGAAGGCCTGCTCTGGGCACTTGTCTCAGTGATCGAGCTGAAGCAGAACCGTCACAGAGGAACTGTGTGCTCATTACTTGGTGTTTGTGTGCATCTCAATAGGTGCATGCAGATGTTTGTCTGCATCTTGTGGGGGGGGGAG